GGCATATGCATAAGCTTCGTGCTTGTAACAGCTGAAGTCGGTGTAGTGACGTCTGAGAGATGTTGTGGAGAACTGGCGCAAAGTAGGCAATTTTCTGTCGAATTAGTGTGCAATAAACGTGGAGGAGAGACGCTGATGTACTGCCCCATTTTGTTCCAGTAGATCTGAGTAAAACGCCTCCGCCATTTGAACTATCCTATCCATATTGGTAGTTATTTTGCCTTCTTTGTCCCTTAGTGCATACATCTGATTTTTACCTATCCCAAGTTTTCTCTTCACTGCTTTGGCGCTTCCTTCATTTTTTCAGAGCGTGTTCAATTCTCTCCATGTTATACCTTCTTACATCGGATACCTTACACTTATTAATCAACTACGAAAGCTCTGCCAGTTCTATTTTGTCTGCTGTACTTGATAATTTCATGCTTTGACGCTTCCTAATGAGATTCTTCGTTTCCTGAGAAAGCTTGCCAGTGTCCTACCATGCTCGCCTCCAACTTCCACTGCACACTCCGTAATGATACTCGTGAGGTTATCATTCATTGCGTCAACGCCAGGGCTGTTTTCCTCGATAAGAGCAGAGTACCTGTTTTGAAGTGAGACTCTGAATTCCTCTACTTTCCCACTCAGTGCTAGCTCGTTGATTCGATTCTTGCATATCAGTTTCTGTAGTTCCTTCTTCAAGTCTAGGCAAATTCGTGACCGTACCATTCTATGGTCACTGCATCGTACCTTGCCAACCATTTCCACATCCTGCATGATGCCTGGGTGTGCACTTATTATAAAGTCTATTTTATTCTTATTTTCACTATTATTATTTTCACTTCATATCCTGTTACGGTTTCCTCGTTTTTGGTAGAAGGTATTCAATATCCGTAAATTGTTGCGTTCTGCGAATTCTACTAGCAGCTCTCCTCTGGAATTTCTAGTACCGATGCCATGATCTCATACTGCCTGGTCTCCAGCCTACTTCTTCCATACCTTTGCATTGAAGTCTCCCATCAGTATAGTATACTGTGTTTTTACCTTACTCATTGCCGATTCCACGTCTTCATAGAAGCTTTGAACTGAAGCGTCATCATGGCTGAATGTAGGCACGTAAGGCTCTACCACCTTCATCTTGTATCTCTTATTGAGTTTAATTATGATATCTACCACCCTTTCATTAATGCTATAGTATTCCTCTATGTGGTCAGCTATATTTCTGTCAATTAGGAACCCCACTTCCAGTTCTCTTCTGTCAGCCAAGCCCCGATAGAAAAGGACGTGCCCATTCTGTAACACCGTATAGGCTTCATCTATCCTCCTAACCTCTCTGAGCCCTATTATATCCCATTTAACACCTTCTAGCTCCTCGAATAGTACAGCTAGACTTGCCTCAATAGATAAGGTTCTAGCGTTAAACGTTGCCAAGCTCAGGTTCCAATGGCGGCCTGTACGGATCCAGAGATTCTTGGCACCCTCTGCTGCGTTGCACATCTGACCGCTGCCGTGGTCACTTGCTTCGCAGCTGCTGGGGACTGAGAGCCATGAGTTCATTGACCTATGCGGGAGGATCGATTTGGCTGCGTTAAAAAAAAAAGATGTGTGATATGAACAGTAATGAAATAATGTTAGGAAATGGCTGAAAAAGTGCTGCTGCTATGCTGTACTGAACATGTAAGCAATGAAGCAAAGCAATCAATTTATATCTTCGTTCGACTAGCTGATTGAGTGCCTTTTGGCACACTTGTTGCCCAGTTTAGCCTAGCCACTTCTAACACATCAAGAATTTATTTAGTTCTTGCGTGCTTTCATACTTACATGCACTCACTCTTTGATTAGCTGAACTTGTACAGAAACTGTACAAGTTTAAAAGAAAGGCACTCGTTGCCCAGAAGGGGCTGGGTCAAAAAAGGTGGGGGGCACAAGGCACACCCTTTCCCCCCAAAAGACTTTTTAGCTTGCCCCTTTTTTGCCATTCCAAGGCCAAGGGTAACCAAAACACAATGCGTAAGTTTCACTCCTCCCTTGTCTCCCCCAACCCCCATATGATGTACATTTATATATCTTTGATATAACAGTAGCTTGTGAAATTAAGGAGGACTGATGAGAGTACTCAATACAAGTGCTCTGTTGTGTAGTCCCATCTGTTCTTATTCAGTTTGCCTTGTGCAGAATTCTAGGCAGACACGTGGACTCTATAGAGGCTTATCCTTTGAAGTGGCGGACATTATACGGTAGGCACCTGTTTACACACTAAACAGCCAAACAAATGATATTGGCTTTTTTGTTCCTTTTCTAAATGTAATAGCTGTGAATCTAACGTAAAATATGAGAATGAGGAAACAGTAATTAAAGGTAGAGCCGTCTCTGAAAACACAGTAGTACAATAAAAGTGAAGAAATTATAAAATAAAGAACCCTTGAGCGAAATGCTTGTTTCTGACTGTTATATCTAAATTAGTAGCTTTGCGTCTTGCAGTCCAGTCAGATGAATGGCCAGGCTAGAGTCTCCAGCACTGTATTAACATATTTCTCTGTCTCCTTCTGCCAATAATCCTTAAATTTGAGTATAGTACTGTATTGTACAAATTATGAAAATGACTTTATTTCAAAATTTGGCTAGTTTCTGGTCCAGGCCAGACCACTCAGACGTCTATTAATTAACTTTGGCGTCACTTCACCGCACATATGCACGGACATACGGACGGACGGAAGCACGGATAGACAGAAGCATGTGCTCGCACGGACGGACGGAAGCATGGACGGGCGCTTCGCCCCACTCATATCATTCACTTCGTGGATATGCTGTGAAAGCCACTAACGCCGTTTAGTTATATTATTCCCAAGGACTCGCTCGCTGGATTCCGTGCCGACCAGTTGTGCTCTCGCGATCTCCGACGACAGTGCAGCTCTGGCCGACTGGGCTGGTCCTACGCCACCTCCTGACGCCGGTCCCCGTCGACGACGACAGCGTAGCTCTGACCGACTGGATTAGCCCTTCGGCATCTCCTGTTGCCGACAAGAGTTCTTGCCAGTGGTGCCCTTTCCTTGGACTCCTGCGACCGTGTTCATCTTTCCTATCTTCTCTTTATTTCCGTCGCTCCCTGCCCCTGCACCTCTATATACCTTTTAATCCTATCCTTTTAATCACTCCTTACCCCCATCCCTTGTGAGCTGCTGTTGAGTTGTCGCACCAGATACAGACAGTTACGGAGCTCACTTTTATCTTCTTTTCCTTTTTATAACCACATAAGAATATTATTCCCAAGGACATATACGCACAATGCAATCTATTGAGCAACTCATAAACTAAAGGTGGCTACATACTACTACAACTGCACAGGAGGGAATGACCCACGGCCTAAGGAGCTTCGCCCCTAAAATGTACAACAAATGGTGATAATATACCAGGAAGCAATGGAGTGGCGTGATAAAGCAACACACTAATAATATGGAGCAAAGTAGTGTATATTTAAGGTATCGTTCGTTGATGAGACACAAATAATAATGAAATCTAACAGTCAGTCATGCCAAGGATCTCCTTCAGTGAGTTGGTGCCAATCATTTCATCATAATAATCATTGTCGTCGTTGTAATCATCATTAAACCAACAACAAGTGAAAGTTAGTGCCTATCGAGGAGGTTTGCCTAGTTCAGCACTTTACGCGCACAGTGCGAAGTGGAAGCAGTTTAGCCGTTTAGAGATGGTACTCACTCTCTAATCAGTGAGCACCATCTATCATTTTGCTCGTTGCTGTATACATCATGGGTGTTTCGACAACCAAAAGCTCCATTCATCCCTGAAGGGTGTTCTGACTAGAACATCACCCCTTAAACAATTTGTAGAAGGAAACATCCTTACACCCTTATTTTGCAAATTTTGGTTAGGCAAAAGGGTGTTTTGCTTGCTTGAAGCCCAACTATCAGAGGTGTTCGTATGGTAGTATATCCTTTAAATTTTGAAGCTTCGGTGTCAAAAAAAAAGTCACATCTTTGCTGCAAAGGTGAAGCAATGAACGCGATAACAATAATTTGAAAGGTCACGCGCGGAATGAAAAGCAGATCGAAACGTGCCCCGCGCGCTCAAATTACGCATGAAACGTACTCACAGGTACGGATGCACGCGAATAAGCGTTTCATTTGTGACTTCGCTGAGTCTGAAAAGCGCGCTCTTTTCGCGAACGGAGACTGCAATGATTGCAGTGACCTTTGTGCGCCCGGTAACTACAGCAGAATCGTCCCACGTAAAACCCGAGGCCAGCCAAGGCATACGATCCTCCCCTCCTCGCCACCGCGAGATAAGGGTGCGCGAGGGAGCGTCGCTCCCCTTCTCTGAGCCGGGCAAAGTACGCGTAGGAGACTAGAACGGGCGCCACTGCGTGATTTGGTGACGTGCGCTCATTGCGTCGTCCTTATGGTAATGCCTAAAACACAGCAGCGGTAAGTGGTAGATATAAATTGCTCGCCGTTGGAAAGGTGAAGTTTGCCTCCGTGGTAGCTCAGTGGCTAACGCCTCGCTTTAACGACGCACAAGTCCCACGTTCGATTCCACGCGTCGGAGTGTTTTTATATGTTTTTTTTTCTTTTTTGCGTTTTCATATATATAGATACGTATACATATACGGTGCATGACATCGACGCCGGCGGCAAAATACAGCCAAGAGTATCCATATAATTGCTATTGCAATAATAAAAAAAAGAGCCAGGGATCAACTTTTATAGCTGTGAGTGGTTGAGCCAGAACAGACCTGGGAAGGTAAAAAGTGCAGTGTGGCACTCCACATTCGCCGCTTCGCAGCTTATATTCTATTACATTATATTATTCCATTAATACATTCTTCATGATTTATTTTTCTTCTTTTAAAAAGAGCAAATTTAACCTCTTAATAATGAATTTTATTATAAAAATTTTCCACTTCTTGATCAATCCCCCAGCGTGGGTGTGTGCCACAGATTCAAGGATCTACTCTATTTTACATTGGTACATGCCAAGTAAAGGACGACGAAGGCCTTTCAAACATGGCTCTGCAGCTGGGCTTCAGGGCAGCAAAAAATTTCAAGCGCCTGGCTTGCGGCACAAGGTAAGAGCGCTGCACTCTGTAAGTTCGTTCACCTGTGATGTCGTTCACGCTGTTTCGCCCTAATGTCGTATGTAAACGTAGCCCAGTCGAAAACCATTGTTAAACTCCTGACACAGTACCGTCCCGAAGCTAAAGCATATGCTTAGGGATTCGCTACCAGGATTCCGCGCCGACCGGTTGTGCCCTCGCGATCTCCGACGACAGCGCTGCTCTGGCCTTCTGGGCTGTCTTACGCCACCTCCTGACGCCGGTCCCCGACGACAACGTAGCACTGGCCACCCTACGCCATCTTCTGTCGCCGACATGAGCTCTCACCGGTGTTGCCCCGTCCTCGGACTCCTGAGACCGTCTCTATCTTTCCTACCTTCTCCTCACTTCCGTCGTTCGCTGTCCCTGCGCCTCGCTCTCTCCTTCCTCCCTCTCTATCTCTTTACCTTTTAATCCTATCCTCTAAATCCCTCCTTTACCCCCCCCCCTCGTGAGCTACTGTTCAGATGTCCTCCCCCTGAGAGACAGTTACGGTGCTCACTTTTCTCTTTTAATTTAAAATCACCCCCCCCCCCCCCCCCATATGCTTAGAGCTTAATGTAGCCTCCGATATTTGTTTCAAACATTTCGTGTAAAAGTGCGCTCGTGTTAATTCAGAACGCCGTCATGGTCACAGATACCACACGTGGAACCGTTGCGAGCTGCGGGAGCCCGGTCACATTTCGATTGAAGCGAAATGCCAGAGGTCTGTGTAATGTGCGACTGCAGGATAGTTGAAACTCCTGGAGCGCTCTTCTACAGCGTCGGTCAGAATCGTGGTTTTGGCACGTAAAAGCCACAATAATTGGTATAATACGCCGCACACATGAATAATTGTATAGAACCTATATCACATGTGTCGCGGAAAAAAAATATAGCTACACATATCCACGAGGTCACAACAAAACAGTTTGAATGCGGGACAGAGCTTAAAAGCAAGTTTACGAACTAAGTATTATTCACCCGATCAAAAATATGGTTCACCCGATGAAATATTGTGAATAAGTTTCGCAGATGCTGACAACATTGTATTTTATGTGATCTGTAACTTTCTTAAAGGTGTTTTCTACCTGAATGAAATTGCTCGAGCAGAGTCGCTGTAAGAAAACGGCTTGCCATCTGTTGTTCGATGTCAAGCTTCAAGTGCTGGTAGCTCCGGAAAGTGAGCACAGGCCACTGAATGAAAAGAAAGTACCCAAGACAATGCGAACTTCGCGAACCACTTCTACACTTTCCTTGCCGCACACGACTACACGATTTGTCAGAGTTGTCTATAGCAGTATCTGCAGGCATATCCGCAGGATGTGTTTACTCACCGAGCCCAATGAATGAATCATGAGCGCTGTACAGGCTCGTGCCATCCGGACCGATAGTATGTGCTGCTGTAGTTCCATACTTACCACGGCAGGAACGTCTACATTTGGTCGGTATAGCATTCTCACCTTGAGATGGGCGATTCACTTATTCTGTTAGGCTTACTGAGGAATCCTGAACCATTTTTCCAAGTGATCATTGAGAGACCTCAATATCGTAGCGTATTGCCTCACGCATATAGTATTGCCGCAAAATCCCCCCGGATCCGTCGGGAATAAACGGAGTAACAAGAATCGGTCGCGCAGTTCACTTGTTCAGAGGGAAGAATAGAGAACTGTGAGAGAAAGAGTAATGTGAACGCTCTCTCCCGTTGTGATTTATATATGCGCGAGCGCGGCTCACTGTGTAATTCGACCAGAGTACAAAGCGCCGGAACGTTGCTGCACCCGGTGGCAAGAACCTCATATGTCATCCAAACGCCGCTCTGGATTCATGTCCGCCATGAGACAATTGCATATCATCTGTTCAACGTCAAGCTTCAGGTGTTGGTAGCGCCTGAACGTGAGCGCCGGCCACGTGACTGAAAAGGGAGTGGCTAAGATAACGACGACTTGGCGAACCGCTTCTAAAACTTTCCTTGCCGCGCGCGACTAGAAGATTTGGCTGTGCTCTTCATAGTATACCAGCAGCAGGGCGTGTTTTATCACCAAGTCCGGTGTGTTAATGAGCCCGTTAAAATATAATTTTTCTGGATTGATTTCTCACTCTCACTTCCCAATTTGTTTCTTTTTCAGCCATCTGCGGCTGAAGTCTAATCTTCCCGAGAACTGGGATGGTGGCGTAGGCAAGGTGTGTAGCGTATATAACAACTCATTCTGGAAACCAGCCCACCAATTTAACTTCACTCACTCACGCCATCTCCACCTTTTTCTTACATTGTCGTTGTGCTTTTTAAGCAACGTCGTCAGATAAGCTAAATACGTGGTCTGTCGTTGAGGCACCGCCACTTTGCCCTTCGAAGTGTTCCTCAGCCAACAGGGGAGCTGTTACACAACAAGTTTCCTTGCTTGGTACGTGACGAGCCACGGCACACGTGGTGCGCATTTTAATAACATATGTGTTTTGCGAAAATCCCCAATGTAGTCGATTAAAAGAAAGAACAAAACTGCTTTTACCTTCACGTCGTCTTAAGTGAATGCAATAGAAGCAGTGTGTGGAGGTAACTCTAAAACAGTTGTCTTCCTTACGTCCATAGCGTTGTTACAGTGCATTGCGGTCAATCGTTGATAGTATTCTGTTGTACAGATGGAGTGTCAAAAAAAAAAAAAAAAAAAGAGACCCTTTTGACATTTTGCAGAGTGCTGATGTTTTCAGACTCCCGACCTCAGCATCCCATTAACAGCACCTTCATTGGGGATGGTTGCTACATTAAAAAAATCAAAAAATCACAGCATATCTACGGGCTGAATGATGATCAGTGCACCGTGAATCCTCCGTGATTTTCGCCCAGTCCATAATCATGTAAAGACTTGACGAACACTGTATATACACAACGTATTGTTTTATTATTCGTAAATTACGTCATATCCACGAAGTGAGTGATAATGAAGTAGCTTTGCTCCGTCTGTGTGTCTTCGTCAGTTTGTAGGTATGTCCGTCTGTCTCCTATCGCACGCGTCTCCTAGGCATCAGAGTGGGGGAGAGTGTAGCAGCGCCATCTAGTGAGCGCTCCGAGTACTATAGGGTTGCTACAGTGGACGACGAGGGACTATTCTACACCCTAAGGAGCTTTGCCCCTAAAAGCATGTGTGTGCGACTTTTTTTCGGAGAGTCCTGACGTGCCAACTTGACTCTCTCGTAGGTTACACTACTCGCTGAAGGTAGTATATGCTTTTTTCTGAGAGTGTAGCAACCGTACCAAATGAAGACGCTGTTAATGGGAAGCTATAAGGTGTCACCGGCGATGATGATAACCGATCCAACGCGCAGGGCGGGGGCGCTGGTGGAAGCATCCGCGAGGCCGGAGGCAGCTTCGGCAAGATGGAGAGGGCTCGCGAGGAAGAGTACTTCCGCCGAACGGTGAGTGGCTTGTAAAGTACGCAGTGGTTACGTAACTACAAGAGATATCGTTCGTATACCACTTGCAGTGACTGATTTGTGTTGCAGCTGCTGAGTCACCACAAAAGAGCAGCGCGCCGTAGCCGTGTCTTCAGGGTATATACATTTATACAAAGAACTTGCATACACAGAAACAACAACAACAACAACAACAACAACAACAACAACAACAACAACAACAACAACAATAATAATAATAATAATAATAATAATAATAATAATAATAATGACTAAAAGAAGTATGCAAAGCGGCCCCAGAGCACAGCGCTGAGCTCAGAGGCAGCTTTGCAGCAGCATTGTCAGTTGTCACGTGTTCGAAAATTGACCTCGTATCTGCATGTAATCTGCAAATGTCGTCAAAAGACGATAGTCTTGCGTGTGGAGAGAGTGAACAAAACATTTATTTGATGTTCTGCGCAAAAAAATCGGTGAATGGTATTCTGGAGGCGCTGCGATAGAGGGCCTCGAGCGTGCAGCGGAAGCGAACGAGCACATCAAGTCACATCACACGTTAAGGTCCCTCCACTTTATCACACGTGAGACATGAGCGCCATCTGGCAGTTTCTTTTGGAAAACAAAGCGCGTGGCCGTGCGCGCCCGTCTCAGAGGTGATAAGGTGACGAACGCAAGGCGACGGGTAGGTGCCACCACCTTAGCTAAGTGTTGGAAACACTTGCCTTTTCGTGCAAGGGTTGCATGGTAAGCGCAGCGTGATAAGCGCCACGGTCCTTAAAGTTTCTTAAGTATGCCTTTTCTAGTAAAAGACGCACATGCAGAATATATATGTGTTGTTATGGTGACCCAGACATACGCAATGAGTGACTTTTAATTGACAATTGCACAAGTATGAACGCTGAATCTTGAGCAACTTTGGTGGGTGCGGCGGATAGGGTTGGCCGTTCAAAGTACCTGGTGCTGTTAAGAGTGGACAAACATACAAATGTACAGACAGACAGACAGACAGACAGACAGACAGACAGACAGACAGACAGACAGACAGACCAAAATTTTTGCGTCAAAGTTCCCCAAGAAAGACTATCGTCTTTAAAAAGGCTGTGGCAAACCTTTAGGCTGGGCTGGGCCCAAGTTACGTGATGTCGCCACAAGCACCCCAGTGTGTCGACGGTTACCGCTGTTTGCAAACATGGAACGGGTTTTATAGAGTGAGGCTACGGCACGTACGTAGCAGGAAGGAGCGCATTGGAACTAGAATCACAGGAAAACTTTCAGAGAGTATCGCATCTGTTTTCCGCATGCCGCCGCTGATGCGATTTGCTTTCTCGCATCACATGACCTCATGCCGCCACATCCCTTTCAAGCGTTCTCGGTGCACGTGCGTTTGAACGCGCAGCGCGGCCGTGCCTCTAGCATTAGCAGAGCACTTAGGGGTATTTCGTCGCTTTTTTAACGCCCCATGCAGATGCGAGGAAGGTGGCAGCAACTGAACGTGACCTAGCAATCACGTTGATTTTCTCATGCCGCGCGGGAAAAACACCGAAGAAAAACGTTCCACGTGACTGCATAGAGTTGGTTGTCAAGAATTCGCCCCCTCCCTAGAACATTCATTCATCCCTGCATTAACCTACGCGAAGTTCGCAATGAAATGCTCTCTGCGACAGGAAATTTCACATTATCCTGTTCGCTCTGCTCAGAGATTGAAAACAACGCTCTACTTCTCAGTACTCTTTAATTTTCTCGGCTATTTATTCCTCTTTTTTTTCAACAGACTGTGCATGTGAAAAAAATTGAAAAATTATTAAAGTAATAACTGTTTCCCGGTAGACCTTCATGGCGATTGTGGGGTGATCATTGACCACCTCGCAAAGCACAACCATGACTGATAGATTGCACATGAAACTTGTTGACATGAAATAGTATAAGGAGGTGTTAGTAACCGTACTTGCTGCAAAAATTACGATGCTAACACGTGGTATTCTACCAAACTTAGACTTACTTACAATGCAGTCCAGTCGGTGAAAAGTGTCACAATAAAAACAAGTATGCATTTTTGCAGTAAATTACACTCGTTCTTCGGCCGGTTGGAACAGCTGAAAGTGGGGAATAAAAATAGAAGGTGAATTTCGCAGTCTGAGCTGTTTCTTGTTATCGTCCTAATATTGTAAATGCTTCTGGCGTACTCCAACTGCTCAGATAAACGTGAAACACTGTTCGTTATGCGAGTTTATTGCTTTGGTTGTTGATTCGCGACACTTTCAGTGCGCAGTGTACGTTTTCGACGGAGATACTGTGTTCCTTTAGCACACGCTTTATAAATTTTGGGCTTTGTTTCTTCAGTGACCGAAGATATAAGAAATACGGTGCAGAGAAAGCTGTTATGAGCGCGAATGACGAAAAAAAAAGTTGGAATTGAGCTAAAGTTTTAGCAGGCCAAGCAGTGCCGACGTTAACAAGAAAACATTTATGTTGGTGCACAGAAAAATCTGAAGAACACACCTGATCTAGAGTCAGTGAAGTGCTGTCGGTCAGTTTTTAACCACTTACTTTTCTACGAATCAGTTAAGAAATATATACGCAATCAAGATACGGTAGGAGCTACCGCATGCCCATTGGCATGTACGTCGGACAGATAGCGCTCCTAACCGAAAAAAAAAAGTCATGCACAATTTCCATTGGCCGTAGACACACCACCACTATTACACATAATGCCTGTGGGCCGACGCAGGCAGCGTCTGGTAGTAAAAAAAAAAAAAAAAACCGACTGCTCGAGCTGCACAACCGTTTACGGGGTGTATATGTAGGCACTGGATCGCGCGTTCAGAATTCAGTCAAGGGCGTCTTGACTTTTGCTTGGCTTGACACCTTGTTGACACCTTGCTCGAGTAGGTGCGATAGAAGCAGTGGTATCTTCAACCAGTAGTGAGGAACAGTCCGAAATCAGCGTCCCACCACTCGTTGAAGGCAACGCTTTTCCTTCATTCAATAAATATCATTTATAAGGACGAAATTATAGTGAGGCATTCCTAAACTATACCTAACTACGCAGCATTCACGTTTTATCGCCACCACTGTGTGACGCATTTACTCGAGTTATCCCCGTGGGGAGATGCGGGCGGCTTTTTTTTTTTCATCGTCAGCTGCGCGTGAAATCAACGCATTTGAGCGATTTTATGCTTAGCACTGAAATTGAATGATGTGCAGCAACTACAAGTGGTGTTGGTAAACATTCATTAAAAGAAACAGGTTGCAAGGGAAACCAGCTCCTAGTCGCTCACCACAGGTGAAGTCCGCAGCATGAGGTGGAGTCCCCGTTGCTGAAAGTGTTGTAGAAGATGACGTCATTGCTCCTTGCTGCACGTTGCGCCAGGCACCATGGCAAAATGGTGGTAATCAGCAGTGGGTGGGCTTTACAGCCGTCAAGTTATAGTTTGTTTTTCTCTGAAATGTCCGTTGACGGCCCACTTTTTAACATCTCTATAGGCGTAGTAAAACTCCTGTTTGCAGGTTTCCCTGTAAACTACTAATTGTTGGGCGACCGTGTCATGGCTCGTTTAACCGGTCGGAAGTTCAGTGTGCACATGCAAGCCTGACAACGCGAAGTTCAATTATACGTCATTCCAAACGTCCCAACAATCCTATAGGGTTAACGCTTACTTCTCGATTGCCTCTCTGTGACGCAGCAAAAAGCACAGTTCAAGATGCTTCAGGACCACATCCGTAAAGAGATCATTCAACGCGAGCAGCTCATCGAGGCGCTGCAGACACAGATCGACAGGAACAAGAAGATCGTCGAAGAGCTTAAGCAGCAGCAGCAGCGCCCCGAGTGAGCCGCTTCACAACCACCTGCGATTGGTGAACCTGAAGAGCTCCCGGATCACCGCTGAAACGTCGTTCCATCCCGGCTCCCCACTCCCTCTCTCTCCGTCCTAATTGGTCTCTAACCTACGGCGTTAAAATTAGAGTAGAATGACGCGCGAAACACCTTTGCGTGCAGCTGCGATGAAGTAAAATTGGCGTGCGTGTCTCCAACAACGTTTTTGTAAAAACGTTTTTCTTTTACGTAGCAAGTCTTGACAACAACACCTTTATGAGGTCGAGTTGGTTCGTCGATAGTGTGTGTACTTGCCATGGAAAGCACAAAAGACAAACACAAAGAGAGAGAATGAAACGTTTGTGATGTTCTGCGTGAGAAGATTGGTGAATACAAAAAAGAAATGCGCCGGTCATGTTGCGTGTGTTCGTTTCATCTTTGTCATTTGCGCTTATGAAGTGCTCTCTAACATTGCTTTGTCGTACTTCACGGAATTTGTAAATGCCACGAAAGGGCTTACTTGGGAGACGCTGCGAAGGACAGAGTATGAAGAACACTTTACACATTTCAACAGAACGTGCGCTCACTTTGTTAAAATGTGTGCTGTGTTCTTTGTAGTCTGTCTTTCGTAGCATCTTCCTACCGTAAGCGCATCGCCAAGACAAGGGATTCATAAACGTGAACGGCGAGTGGTGGTGCCCCAGGGTACCTACTTGTTCACACACAAACAACACCTGCTGATGTAGGAAATCCATTTTTGCGCCCCAATGGCTCGGCGTCACGTGGTATTGAGCAGGAACGTCACTTTTGACGTCACTGGTAAAGTGGCACGTCGCTTTCCACGTTCATTCTCGCAGAGCGATGCTGGAAAAACTGAGAACCGTGAGTGGTACGGTGTATAGCTAAGCGCCTCCCCCAGTGTGACCGGCCAGCCACGGAAGACAAAATGGGATACTTATGGCAACTCTAAGCAGAACTTTATCTTGCTCATTGAAATTGCGCGGCGGTGGTTTGACGTCATACGCGACGTTTCTACTCATGCCACGTGACTCCGAGAGAAAGAGGGCAATCATGGACGAGAAAAAGAAAAGAGGGAGCATTGCGTCACACAAGTGAAGTTTACCGTGTCGGCCCAACATGGGTTCAAAATCTCTGAGAATGCGACACGCTTTAGTAAACTAGGTGGCGATTCGCGTTTGAACCTCCTGCATGCTTGAGCCGGCCGGTCTTCACCGAACCAGCACACTTAGATTAAAAGCTGCCGGGCGTCATACCCCAAAATATCGGCAAGTCTCGTTGCTTGCGTGATCTCGCCGGAAAATGTCAGGTGTTGGGCCGCCACTGCTGGATTTCGCTAGTATAGTTTCGTGACGTCATGCTCCATCCTTCTTTCCTTCACGGAAACAACAATCCTCCGCCAGGAGGACTGTAGCCAACTAGTCGGCGAATGCAACACGTGTTAGGGAATCTGGAATTGTAGGGTAGCGAGGCGTGAGACGAGGACGAGTTTCGCGTTCGCATCATGGGCAAATGGAACTCCGATCTGTTGCAGAGCGAATGGGATCTTCGGCTGGAGTGAGTTCGCTAAATGCCGACTAATGATCAATAATATGCTGCGCAAGACCTGCGTGGGCCAATATTGGCTGAACGTGGCTAAAGTATGGCTAATACTTGCTACTTCCGGCAAATTTCTGGTTCATTAGGGCTAAAGTTGTGAGAAACTGGGTAAATTGTTAACGATTGTTAACACTTCCGGTTTACTAAGTAATCGAAAAAATGGCGCAAACAATAAACGTACAAAATCAATAGTACTAGGAAGTAAAGAGCGTGACTCAGTCAATACATAAGAAATGGGAGCATAAGTTTACTTTTCTTCGTCACCTGATGATTGATTGATTGATTGATTGATTTGTGGAGTTTAACGTCCCAAAACCACCATATTTCTTCGTCACCTGCTCACTCCATTGAGCATGCACGCCTGGTGCGCTCACTCCCGCGGTGGTGATTGGTCCGGCATGGGGTGTGAAGATTCGGATGGGCGAGAGAAAATTACAGAAAGAGAAAAAAAAAAAAACGTTACCCCGTCTAACATTAAAGGGAACCACGAGTAGCATGCGAAGCAGCGCATGGGTCGACATAAAGTTTCGTTCATCACAGCCTCTTGCCCGATAGTATAACACGTTCTAGCAAGTGGAGCACACCGTGAAATCCCCGTTGTTTGTGTTGTTGTTACTCTTCCCAAACTTCCCAACTTCCCAAAGAGTAAGAGTGTAAGTTTAAAGGGCCTGCTCGCATTACTAAGCAAGACAGGTTTAGATTCCGGTCTTTAGAGAATCTGATAATGTGGAGACTTTTGTGCGGGCCCAACACGGAACGAGACATTGTGTGCAGTGACTCATTGTGCTATACCACAATCACTCCTCATCATACCTTCCTCTTTCTTTGCCTTTTCCCCTTATCCGCGTGTGGAGTTGCAGGCCAGAAACCCGCTTTGTTTTGTTTTGTTTTGTTTCCCTGGGAGGTTGGCTCATACCCACTCAGGGGGATTGGCCAAGAAAGTGTAGTGCAGTTTTTCTGTGATCATTTTAACTATGTGTAAGGAATTGGAATTATAATAAGACTAATGTAAATATAAAAACAACATAAAAAGAGCAAACGAAAAAAAAAATCTAGTTGAGCAATTTTGAGATTTGAGGTGTTATGATTACCACTCAGCTGCGTTTACTTCACTCTGCCCTGGGGAGTAATAAATAATTTTTTTTTGATTGAAGATCACAAAGGTATACGCTTGGTTGCCTGAATATAATCGCAAACACTTTCAAGGCCGACTTCTTCTTCTTCTTCTTCTTCTTCTTCTTCTTCTTCTTCTTCTTCTTCTTCTTCTTCTTCTTCTTCTTCTTCTTCTTCTTCTTCTTCTTCTTCTTCTTCTTCTTCTCTTCTTTCTTCTTCTTCTTCTTCTTCTTCTTCTTCTTTCTTCTTCTTCTTCTTTCTTCTTCTTCTTCTTCTTCTTCTTCTTCTTCTTCTTCTTCTTCTTCTTCTTCTTCTTCTTCTTCTTCTTCTTCTTCTTCCCAAACTCTTGTTGGAGCACGCCACGTGGTCCATCCCCACGCCACGCGGGAGCACGTGGGTTCATTGCGCGTCTGCAGAGTCTCCTTCCCCGACGCCGTCGCGTGATTGCTGAAAGAGGGTAAGGGGGAGAGGCTACATCATCTTACCTAGCCTTTCAAACCGGCTGTAACGCGCTAGCGCGTTCTGGTGGTGCTAGGGCCAGCTGTTGCGCTTGCGCAATAAAAGTGGTCGTGCCGCACGCCACCGAATTGAACTCTGCCGTAGGCTGCTTCGCATTAAAAATAAAGAGAAACAAAGTAGTCTGCACACTACAATAGTGTACGGAGAAAGCAATCAATTTAATTTTTAATGTTCTAAGCAGTGTTTTGTTATACTTATGATTGTTAGGATTTGACTATCTTTAGTTTGTATTTTATTTATTAGTATAACTTATTCCACGTTGTTGACAAAGCTGCATTTTACTTATACATACTTAACACATTTTATGACAGGAGGTGTCCCTTCAACCAAGTGCTCTGGGACCTCCTTCTGTATGTTTTGTACGAAAGTAAAAATAAACTGAAACTGAACCCCCCCCCCCCCTGTATTGTTGTTTTGACTGACTTTGTTTGGGTGACTGCGCATGGTGACATTAAACCAATCCGATTGAGTCGATTAACCCCATCAGGCGCGAATTACGGGGAATGGTCAGTAAATGTTTAAATTTTTCAAACCGACATTTTGAGATGCTCGATAATATATTCCCCCCCCCCCCCCAAAAAAAAAGCAGGAAACGGGCTGTTTTTGGTAAGCTTTGCTAGTTATTTCTAATTTGCGTATATTTAAATATTTAATTATTTTGCAGTCAAATTGTTCAATATTTACAGATAAGAATGGAACTCTTAGGCCTATAATGTATGCGCAGTTTGTTTTCTGACTGTGTTTATTTGGAGCAAATAAAAATAATACTCTTAAAGTTGGTCCTGAAACGCGGCACGTCGAGCGACCTGCCGATCATCACAGTGATTTCGCTAAAATAATCAGTTGCAGATTTACGCAGCACGTTAGGATTAAGTCAACATGCCTTGACTAAAAAGAAGGTTCAATTGATCGTATGCGCATTGTATCTTGCCCTTCCTCTCTCACTGGTCCGAGAAACTGGCAAAAGCAAGTTGCTCCACATATGAGGACGCTGCGCCTGAAGGTTTTAAACTGGATTAAAGCAATTCGAATCTTCAGGCATTCAATGTTGACTAAGTCAATATTACTTAGCCAGGCCAGTTGGATGACATAGTATGGGTGCAACAAGACTAAACAATACTTAGCCAGATGGATGACATAGTACAAGCAATAGAGACTACGTCGGATTATTCTACTCCGAATTAGGTTGGGTTAAGTTATTTTGAGCACGTCTCTGATCAGCAAGATGAAACTGCCTCACAGTTTGGATGGCTGAGTGTGGCGACAGTAAAACTAGAAATTAAGCTGGATTAATCTAAGCCGGATTAAGCTAACCAAGACTAGTGTAATCTTGAACCAGCCATTTTGAGTGAATTTATGACGAATTCTACTGGGATAGCAGGAACACTCAAAAACACGCTTAAAGTGCTCTCTTCTGAGCCGGCGTGCTTCGGCGGTCAAACAAATGCAGGAGCACTGTCATCCATTGGTAGAGCGAGAGTGCTTTCGCTACACCGAGGGCAGCCAGGAGCAGTTTGCAATACTCTCGCCTGAAAAGCGGAGTAGGCGCAGTACGACGAGTCACGTGGTCCTTGAACGTCACAGCCTCCAAATTTTTCTTCAGCCGGCGAGCGCGGCGGGAATGGTAGCAACCATGTGTTGTTTGACACCGCTGTTTTGCACGGAAGGCTACGATGAGAGCTGGACGTTTGCCGAATGAATCATTGCACAAGCATACTAGGTATTAGGATAATGAAGAATATGTGGATGACCGATTTCCCGCGTATTTTGCTGCTACCCCACAAAGAATATGTCGGGGCTTAGAATGTTTCAGTCACATGGTC